TCTGGATGTCAGTGCAGCCTCTGGGAGTTCCCTGGAGAGGCCCCGGCTGGGAAGAAGAATTTGACTGCGGGCAGGTGTTTGTGAGGTTGCAGGGGTGAGTCTTGGTGACTTCGTGGAAGTGACCCCACAGTTCCTTCAGTTTGGCAGTCCCCGAGAGCCAGCGGTGCAAGGAGTCGGCGCTGCCTCCTGGTGGTAGCGTGCGGCGCACGTACGCGCGGCAAGGCCTGGTGGGGTGGGGGCGCGGCCCGGCGCCTCCGGCGCCCAAGCATTAATGGCTCCATTAGCGGCCGGGAGGGAGGCGCATTAGCGGCGACGACGGCGTCTGGCTCCCATTACCACCGGCGGCAGCGGCTGCACCGCAGGCGGCTGGACCCCAGCCCGCCGCGCCGCCGCCTCTGCCCGCGTCCCGTCTTCTGTGCCCGCTCCCCAGGGGGGCCTGGGCTTCGGACCTGTGCGCCTCTCGCCGCACCCTCATTTCGGAGAAAACCTTACTATGAAGCCAGGTACACCTGGATTCAAGCCCTGCTCATGCTACCCTCCTGACTACAGGACTTTATTGCCCTACTTCGTGTGCAGTAGCCAGGGAAACTGGGTGCACCGTGGGTTTGTAGTTAAGCAGTACCCGCTCCCTGACCCCTCTGGCACCTAGAGGTGCATATTCCCGCGCCCCTGAGGTCGGAAATCTGGCCGCGGGCCTTCCCATTGGCTGCTTTGGAGCTTGCCGGCTGTCGATTGGCCAAAGCTTGCTCCTGTTTTCTGCGCAGTTAACCCTTGCACAGCCATATCCTGAGGTTGGGTGCTTTTCCCTCCACTACCCACCCCCCACGCCGCAGACACCCCGGGTGCCAGCTGGCCCGTGCCTGGCCGTGGCGCGCGTGGGTGTCAGGCAGGCCAGGCTCCCGCCTGCCCTCCTAGCACAAAGCGGCTTTGTGGGGCCCGCCGGGTCTGGCTAGGGGCCAGGCAGTGAGTGGAAAATCTCGTGAGCGCCGGGAGGGGAGGGGCGCACAGGGCGGCGCCCCCTCCTCGGCTTAGGCCTGGGCGCCTCCCTCTGCCCTCTCCAACCAGCCCTAGGGTCCGTACGACCCCGTCTCCCCCTTCCTACCTGGAAGCTCACACCCCTGCTCTTGACCGGCACCCCGCCTATTTCCCTATCCCTGGAGACCCTCCCACACACCTCGCCCCTACCTCTCGGTTTCCCTCCTGGTCCTCCTGCCTACCCCAGCCCCACACACACTGACTCACCCCGGCGCTATTTTTAGTCTCCCATCCCTCCCGAGCTGTGCCAGCCCAATCCTGGGCTCGTTCCCCGGGCAACCCTGGTAGTCGCCGACGCCGCCCGGAGTGGGTGGGTGGGTGGATGTGGATGTGGAGAGCGGGTGAGGGGAGCTCGGGACACTGGGGTGGTAAGCCAAGTCGGGGACCCGGATTTGGAGAGCAGGGTGGGGAGGCGCGGTGCCTTCTGGGCCCAATAAATGGGCCTGGAGTTCTGACCGTGTCTGCCTGCCCCTCAGTCAGCATCATCCCTGGCTGGGTGCCCCGGGCCTCTGGGCAGGTCTCAGCCTGCGCTGCCCTGGTGGCTGTCGGTGTCTCTGTCTGGCTCCCAGTCCCCAGGCTAGGGTGGAGCGATGCAGGAAGGTGGGGGATATTTTGGGTCACATTATTTGTGAGGTGGTGAGGGTGTTGGAGTTGGCTGCTACTTCAGTCCTACCTAGTACCTGCCTGGAGTGAAAGTTCGGTTTGCCCCTCCACGTGGGGCTGGGCCTCGATTTGAGGAACCCCCTCAGCCATTTTCAACTCTGGGTGGGGGATGACTGGATAGAAACTGCTCCCTCCACTCCTAGTCACCCCCACCCAGGGTTCCTCCATCCTGAACAATGGAAGCTAAGTATAGGGCTGGCCCACTGCCCAGGGCAGGGGGGCCCTTTCCCGCCCGGATTTTCACCCTCCCTGCCAGCTCTGTCCCCCACTTGGCTGTACCCTACCCTGAAAGGGGCCTCTTCCCATCCCTCCTCCGTGGGCACTGTGTCTTCTACCAGATGTGCACACTTCCCAGATGTGTGGGGCCCTCTCTCCCTGTTGTTGCCAGGCCTGGCTTTTTTTCTCACCTAACAGAAGTGGGTTATCTAGGGATAGTGCCCCTTTGAGCTGTGTCCTTGGGCTGCATTGTAGTAGGGAAGGGGTTAACTTGCCAGTAGGTGACTCACCGGTGGGGTGGGGAGATAGCAGGCCACATTGATTTCAGCCTCAATTTCTGCCTCTCATTGCAGTCCCTAGGGCAGTGAGGTAATGGAGGGTCTGAGTCTGGGGCTGCACTGGGAGGAGGGGGCAGTCACCTAATAGTCCCTCAGGTGGCCCCTCCAGGCTCACAGCCAAGTGTCTGGCCCTGTAGTCTCTAGAGGTCACCTGGCTAACAAGCCTCTTTCCCCCTGCAGGTTTCCCGGGGTTATGCTTTCCCCCACCCCTTGGCCTCAACCCATCATTGCATTGGGCAAACTGGGGTTATCTTTTCCTGCCCTTGACCCTACCTGCAGTGTTGGCCTTGACCCCAGTCTTGGTCCATCTGAACTTGTTCCATTTTTACCTGCCCGGGTAAAATGCTTCTACTCAGTGCCTTCCTGAGACCCACCTCCAGGGCTCTGCAGCTTTGCCTGCTGGCCTCTAGGCACGTTCTCTGAGTGCCCCTGACCTCTCTGTGGTTTGCCAGTCTCACTGTATCACTGTCTGACCTTATTTCTAGGCCTCTCTTTGGTAATCTATGCCTGAGCACTCCTTGGGGTTAGATATTGAACAGTGGAAAGAGCCCTTGAGGCAGAGTCCTGGGCCATTACATCCTGCCTGAATTGTCATGCTCAAGTCTCAAATCTTCCTAAGCTTTGTTTTCTCATCTGAACAATGGGTATAACAAATTGTACCTCTCTGTGTAGCTGTGGGATTCCATGAACTCAGGCATTAGTTTCCTGTCTTACTCTTGGCTCTTTTTCAGGGATAGGAGGGAGTCTGTCAGTCTATACATATGTACTTACCTTGGTGGTGCTCTGTGCACACACATCCTCAAGTGGAAGTTGCCAGGTGGCTGCTGAGTGTCAGGTTGGGTAGCTGAATGACAGTGGGTGACCATGGGGCTCAGTGTATATACTGTGTCAGAGATGGTGTGTGTTAGTGTTATGGAGTGTCAGGAAGGCTGAATAAAAGCCGTAGAGGGGGTGTGTGTGTGTGCGCGCGCACACGTGCCCGGTGTGACTGTGCAGTGGGATGGCCGTGGCCTTGAGGCATATAATCTGCCATATTGTTTGTACTATGTGAGTTGATAGATGTGTGATGAGGATACATGTTGGTGAGGGCATGTATATGTATTTTAACAGGTGATGGAAAGACGGTGAATGAGAATGAATAAATATATATGAGGTTGAGTGTGCAGTTTACATGTGTGAGAATGAGGTGTGACTGTGACAGTGGAGAGAATAGATCGAGAGTTATTTGTGACTTTGTGGAGAGAATGGGTGTGGTCTGAAAGTACAGTAGTCCTTTGCTGTCAAGAATGGGGGCAGGGATTGGTCCAGGACTGCTGCTCAGACCAAAATCCTCGATGATATTCTAGTCTCTTACATAAAATGGTATAGTGCTTGTATAGAACCCACCCACGTTCTCCTGTATACTTTAAATCATGTCTGCACTTGTAATACCAAATACAATGTAAATTATATGTAAATAGCCTTATTAGCTTTTTGAGGAATTGCTTTCTTCGCCTAGTTGCTTTCCCCCAGTATTATTCATCCGTGGTTGGTGAGCCTGAGGATGCGGAACTGCAGATGGTGAGGGTTGACTTTTTGTCTTTGCTGGTATGTGTGTGATATGCCAGTGTGAGAGTTTGTGAGGGCTCAGGTGAGGGCTCTCGGTAGACAGTTGTGCCGTTGAGGTATGAAGGAGGCGGGCTGAGCTGCGCATGAGCGTGTTCCTCCCGTGGGCTGGACACTCACTACCACACACAACCCACGGGCCTACGCAGCGTGGCGCCCCAAGCCGCCCCCCTGGCTCTGTGCCTTTACTGCAGTGCGCCCTCCCTGCCATCCTCCTCCAGCGGTCCCACCCCCGGCCGGCTTCGGGCCAACCACAGCCCGCCCCGCCCCGCCCTTATTTGCATATGACTGACGTTCCCCCCGGGGCGGCCAATGGGGGCGGGTGCGGCGGGGCCTGACCCGCGCGCGGCGGCGGCAGCCAATGGGCTTAGG